TTTTTGACTACTTGAAGACCATCTATGTTCAATAAATATCATAAGGACCTAAGAGCTATGGTTTGCAGCTTAAATAGTAAGGTTGGTTGATCTATTTCATATATTTATTTTCATGCATATGGTTGTATATGTACTATTTTTTAGATAGGTAACACTTCAAAAAATTGATGGTAAGGTAGCTGTGGAACCGTAGCTCTTAGGTCTTTATGATATTTTTTGACTATTTGAGGACCATCTATGTTCAATAAATATCATTAGGACCTAAGATCTATGGGTCTGCCGCTTATAGTAAGGTTGATTGATCTATTTCATTTTATATATTTTAATGTGTATGGTTGCATATATATTTATTTTTTATATAGGTTACTTCAGATATTGATGGTAAGGTAGCTGTGGAACTGTAGCTCTTAGGTCTTTATGATATTTTTTGACTATTTGAGAAACATATATGTTCAATAAATATCATAAGGACCTAAGAGCTATGGTTCCACAGCTATAACTAGTATCCTTGGTTGATCTATTTCATTTTATATATTTTCATGTGTATGGTTGTATATATATTTATTTTTTATATAGGTTACTTCAAAGAATTGATGGTAAGGTAGCTCCAGAACCATAGCTGTTAGGTCTTTATGATATTTTTGACTATTTGAGGACCATCTATGTTCAATAAATATCATAAGGACCTAAGAGCTATGGTTCTGCAGCTTAAATAGTAAGGTTGGTTGATCTATTTCATTTCATATATTTTCATGTGTATGGTTGTATATATATTTATTTTTTATATAGGTAACACTTCAAAGAATTGATGGTAAGGTAGCTGTGGAACTGTAGCTCTTAGGTCTTTATGATATTTTCATGTGTATGGTTGTATATATATATATTTTTTATATACTTAGGTTACTTCAAAGAATTGATGGTAAGGTAGCTGTGGAACCTTAGCTCTTAGGTCTTTATGATATTTTTAGACTATTTGAGGACCATCTATGTTCAATAAATATCATAAGGACCTAAGAGCTATGGTTCAGCAGCTACAAATTGTATGGTTGGTTGATCTATTTCATTTTATATATTTTCATGTATATGGTTGTGTATATGTTTATTTTTTATATAGGTTACTTCAAAGATTTGATGGAAAGGTAGCTGTGGAACCTTAGCTCTTAGGTCTTTATGATATTTTTAGACTATTTGAGGACCATCTATGTTCAATAAATATCATAAGGACCTAAGAGCTATGGTTCTGCAGCTTAAATAGTAAGATTGGTTGATTTATTTCATTTTATATATTTTCATGTATATGGTTGTATATATATTTATTTTTTATTAGGTTACTTCAAAGAATTGATGGTAAGGTAGCTGTGGAACCATAGCTCTTAGGTCTTTATGATATTTTTTTACTATTTGAGGACCAGCTATGTTCAATAAATATCATAAGGACCTAAGAGCTATGGTTCCACAGCTATAACTAGTATCCTTGGTTGATCTATTTCATTTTATATATTTTCATGTGTATGGTTGTATATATATTTATTTTTTATATAGGTTACTTCAAAGAATTGATGGTAAGGTAGCTCCAGAACCATAGCTGTTAGGTCTTTATGATATTTTTGACTATTTGAGGACAATCTATGTTCAATAAATATCATAAAGACCTAAGAGCTATGGTTCCCCAGCTTAAATAGTAAGGTTGGTTGATCTATTTCATTTCATATATTTTCAAGTGTATGGTTGTATATATATTTATTTTTTATATAGGTAACACTTCAAAGAATTGATGGTAAGGTAGCTGTGGAACCGTAGCTCTTAGGTCTTTATGATATTTTCATGTGTATGGTTGTATATATATATATTTTTTGTATACTTTGGTTACTTCAAAGAATTGATGGTAAGGTAGCTGTGGAACCTTAGCTCTTAGGTCTTTATGATATTTTTAGACTATTTGAGGACCATCTATGTTCAATAAATATCATAAGGACCTAAGAGCTATGGTTCAGCAGCTACAAATTGTATGGTTGGTTGATTTATTTCATTTTTTATATTTTCATGTATATGGTTGTGTATATATTTATTTTTTATATAGGTTACCTCAAAGAATTGGTGGTAAGGTAGCTGCGGAACCGTAGCTCTTAGGTCTTTATGATATTTATTGACTATTTGAGGACCATCTATGTTCAATAAATATCATAAGAACCTAAGAGCTATGGTTCCGCAGCTTAAATAGTAAGATTGGTTGATTTATTTCATTTTATATATTTTCATGTATATGGTTGTATATATATTTATTTTTTATATAGGCTACTTCAAAGAATTGATGGTAAGGTAGCTGTGGAACTGTAGCTCTTAGGTCTTTATGATATTTTTTGACTATTTGAGGACCAGCTATGTTCAATAAATATCATAAGAACCTAAGAGCTATGGTTCCGCAGCTATAAATAGTATGGTTGGTTGATCTATTTTATTTTATATATTTTCATGTATATGGTTGTGTATATATTTATTTTTTATATAGGTTACTTCAAAGAATTGGTGGTTAGGTAGCTGCGGAACTGTAGCTCTTAGGTCTTTATGATATTTTTTGACTATTTGAGGACCATCTATGTTCAATAAATATCATAAGGACCTAAGAGCTATGGTTCTGCAGCTAATAGAAAGGTTGATTTATCTGTTTCATATTATATATTTTCATGTGTATGGTTGTATATATATTTATTTTTTATATAGGTTACTTCAAAGAATTGATGGTAAAGTAGCTGCGGAACTGTAGCTCTTAGGTCTTTATGATATTTTTTGACTATTTGAGGACCATCTATGTTCAATAAATATCATAAGGACCTAAGAGCTATGGTTCCGCAGCTAATAGTAAGGTTGATTGATCTGTTTCATATTATATATTTTCATGTATATGGTTGTATATATATTTATTTTTTATATAGGTTACTTCAGATATTGATGGTAAGGTAGCTGCAGAACCGTAGCTCTTAGGTCTTGATGATATTTTTTGACTATTTGAGGACCATCTATGTTCAATAAATATCATAAGGACCTAAGAGCTATGGTTCCGCAGCTATAAATAGTAAGGTTGATTGATCTGTTTCATATTATATATTTTCATGTGTATGGTTGTATATATATTTATTTTTTATATAGGTTACTTCAAAGAATTGATGGTAAGGTAGCTGCGGAACTGTAGCTCTTAGGTCTTTATGATATTTTTTGACTATTTGAGGACCATCTATGGTCAATAAATATCATAAGGACCTAAGAGCTATGGTTCCGCAGCTAATAGTAAGGTTGATTGATCTGTTTCATATTATATATTTTCATGTATATATATTTATTTTTTATATAGGTTACTTCAGATATTGATGGTAAGGTAGCTGCAGAACCGTAGCTCTTAGGTCTTGATGATATTTTTTGACTATTTGAGAACCATCTATGTTCAATAAATATCATAAGGACCTAAGAGCTATGGTTCCGCAGCTATAAACAGTAAGGTTGGTTGATTTATTTCATTTTATATGTTTTCATGTGTATGGTTGTATATATATTTATTTTTTATATAGGTTACTTGAAAGAATTGATGGTAAGGTAGCTGTGGAACCATAGCTGTTAGGTCTTTATGATATTTTTTGACTACTTGAGGACCATCTATGTTCAATAAATATCATAAGGACCTAAGAGCTTCAGTTTGCAGCATAAATAGTAAGGTCGGTTGATCTTTTTCATTTTATATATTTTCATGTGTATGGTTGTATATATATTTATTTTTTATATAGGTAACACTTCAAAGAATTGATGGTAAGGTAGCTGTGGAACTGTAGCTCTTAGGTCTTTATGATTTTTTTTTAATATTTGAGGACCATCTATGTTCAATAAATATCATAAGGACTTGAGTGCTACAGTTTGCAGCTTCAATAGTAAGGTTGGTTAATCTATTTCATTTTATATATTTTCATGTGTATGGTTGTATATATATTTATTTTTTATATAGGTTACTTCAAAGAATTGATGGTAAGGTAGCTGTGGAACTGTAGCTCTTAGGTCTTTATGATATTTTTAGACTATTTGAGGACCATCTATGTTCAATAAATATCATAAGGACCTAAGATATATATATTTCATTTCAGAGTTCACTCACAGATGTTTAATTTGTAATTTTGGATTTTTGTTGATTCAGCTTAGAGAGAATGTTTCAGTAGTCGACCTTGAATATGGGTAACAGACCAGGGAGAGTGGCATATAGATTTCCTTAACTCTATACTCTTTATATTTTATTTTTATCACAGATGAAGCTAAATCTACTGTAAGCTTTTAAGAGAGCCTGCTTTGATAGAAGTGACAACAATTTTTCAAACATCACTAATCTTTATTATTTATTTCCATTACAGAGTTCTTACGGAGATATATAGGTTACAATACTGTATTTATTATTTCAGATGGTCTTTATATGTCCTATGTGTGTAATTGTTTGTCTTAAAGAAATAGAATATGGTATTGACTATTGATTTCAATGGGAAAAAACACACAGAAGAAATCAACTTCAAATACCTGCATAGACTAATGGTATGATATTATACACCATTACATGTACATTGGCGGGTTGAATTCTTATCAGGATAATTAGAAAAAAAATAATTAAGAAATAACTGTATTAGACATTATTAATGTTTTTCTAACAGTAGCCATGTTAAGGGTGAGAACATATTAAGTCAGAAAACTGATAACTAAAAGTTGTGAAAACATCTAGCTACCCATCCGAGAATTATTTTACCAGTTTAATATTTAAAAAATACATGTACCAAGTATATTAACAAGATTTTCTATTAAAATAGCAATAGTAAATCCTGAGATTGGAATAGAACTTCCAAGGGGAGACAAATTCAATATACAAGATTTGTTAATTCAATGGGAGATAACTCTGTAAAATATGCAGATTTTATGCAGTTGAAATTCAAATCATCATTCTTTGACTTTTTTTTTCCATCTTTATATTAATTTTACAAACTTAGGTGTTGATGTTATACTATTGTGAACATGTAGTAAGAAATCAAAACAAGATTTAGTAAATGTTTATTTTGACAGAAATGGATTTATAAAATATATAATAATGTATCCATTTTAATTCCTTTTTAGGTTCTTTCTGTGACATGTTTTTCATGGTGTTGGGAATTAGACTTTGGGGTCTAATACATCTAAAAGGAAGGTAAGTACCAGAATGTTATTCTAGTTTTGAAGAGAAAAAAAAACCAAATGTATTATAAAATTTCTTTGGAAAATTCTCTCTAGGCTTTAGGAGTTGGTCAGGTCTACTCTCTCATTTATCAGTACCAGTATATAAGTTAATTTTAGGATCTGATGTAATTACATAAAAGTTTGCTGGGTTTCTGGATTGCTGTCTAATCCACATGTTCTCAACATCTATTACACATTTATAGACTACCAGTATTTATATTAAATATATATAAGTATACCAACAATGATCAGTTTAAACAATTGTTGATGATGAGGCATTTTATATTTCAGGTTAACATCACAGCTTGTCCGTAAGGATTGAGGTTGGGAATGGCCATTGGAGCTGACTTTTATGGTAAGAATCAGTACATAGATTTATGAACTATTCAACTTAGAGCATGTCGCTAGAATTTTTCATGTTATAAGTGTATGTATAATTTGGAAGGGGGTATCAAGATACAAATAAGAGAAGTCAAAGATTTGAATTTTGGATATCTTCTCTCTGTTTTTTTTCTTATCTAAATTAATGCCACTATGTAGAAATTAAAAAATGTAGTATGATTGCCAATGAGACATTAATCAACCAGAAACCACGATAAGGATGTTAGTAACTATAGAATGCCATTTTATGGTCTTCAACAATGAGCAAAACCTATTCTGTATTGTAAGCTATATAAGGCCCCAACATGGCAAAATGTGAAATAATTCATATGAGAAAACCAATGACTTGATATAGGATAAAACAAACAAACAAAAAATATGATAGACAACAAACAACGACTTTTTTTTCATCTTTTTTTGCCAACAAAAACTGGTAGTCTAAAAGTTATGTCCACGAGTCACTTTAAAGCTAGGTAAAGAAATGTTATATGCATCATAATTGTAATGTCCAGTTAATTATTCTTTTATTTTCTTAATAATTATTTTGCATCAAATATTGTTTCAATTATTTTCACATAGTTTTGACAGATATGTTAAATTAAGAATGAATATTTCTTTTTCAGGTTACTTTAACTGTGGCTGCATGAAAATGATTGGGTGACTGTACCAGTAAAGAATGTAATTCAGACAATTTTTGTGTGTGTTTGAGAAAATGTTTATAATTTTTTACAAAAAAAAAAATAGTGTAAAGATTCTCCATTTTCAACAAGATTGTAAGTTATAGATAACTTTTGAATTTTAAAATCTCTCTTTTTACCATTAAAACCAAAGGATATATTCAGGTAGCTCTACTCATGTCAATTCTTGACAATTTTATTGTCATGCATAATGATATTGAACTGGTTTTTGTCTCGCCTTGACGGAGTCAAAAAGCGAGACATAGGTATGCTGTTTCCGGCGTCAGTGGCGCCGTCAACAATGTATTAGTTTGTGATTAGGTCTAGTTTATGGTGAACCACTAGTGGTAGGTCAAAGATATTTGGTATGCAGTTGAATTAGCATTGGCATATCTCATTACCATGGAGGTTATTTGTCCCTGCCCCCTCAGTCATGGTTTATTGGCTTTGAAACTTTCTTAGTTTTTATGTATTAGTTTGTGATTAGGTCAGTTTAAGGGGAACCACTAGTGGTAGGTCAATGATATTTGGTATGCAGTTGTATAAGCATTGGCATATCAAATTTCCATGAAGATTTTTTGGCCCTGCCCCTTCAGTCATGGTCTATTGACTTTGAAACTTTTGCTTAGTTTACAAGTTAATGTTTGTGTTTAGGTTTCTTTAAAGGGAATGACTTATGAAAAGTCAATGGTATTTGGTATGCAGTTGTATTAGCATTGGCACATCTCATTTCCATGGAGATTGTTTAGCCCTGTACCTTTAGTCATGGTTCATTGACTTTGAATTTTTGCATAACTTACATGTAAAAGTATTGTTATTTTAATTTCAACATTTGCATTATCAAAATAACAAATAGGCGAGACATATCTCTGTGTTAACAGTTTATTGGTATGTATAGTTTTGTTTTGAGTTCATAGTTCAGATTGTATTCATTATTTTTTTTCCCCTGTGGCTAGATTTAATTGGTACTTTGAAACTTAATTGAAATGGACTTTTATTTGAAGACCTACTCTTTTAGATATATTAATAATAGTCCATGTCTAGTCAAAACACTTCCAGAAGTTAAGAATGGAGAATCTTAAAATGAAAGAAAAAATGAAATGTATATTTTGGCTTTCACCTTTGTTAAATATATACCTTTTCGGAAATCTTTCGTTTTTTTATGCCCCTGCCATAGGGAAAGGAGGCATTAAGTGTTACCCTTGACATCCTTCTGTCCTTTTGTTGTTCCTTTTGTTCCATTTTTGTTTCCGCACTAACTTTTAAGAGTAATGCCCCTTTATCAGTTGGAAAGTTGCAAATTTGGGCAGTGAGTCACTTACTTTTCTAGAGTTATGCTCCATTTTACAATTTAAAAAATTGCCAATCTTGAGGAAGGGCATCGTGTCCTCAGACACATTCTTCTTTTATTTTTTAGCTGAGTTTGATATAGTTTATTTTTTTATCAATTGTTTTGTTCTGAATAATTATACATTTTTTTATACTGTCTAAAGTATACTTCCTGAGACGGTCTTCAGAGCATTAGGTTTTGGACTCAGGTTTCCAACATTTTCCCACTACAAATTCAGTTTTTAAAGAAGTTTTACCAAGTTCACTCGTTTTAGTTGGTCGTCATGGTTCTTCCTGGCACTAGGAGATGGTTAATGATAGAGATTTTGTCATTATTTGGTATTTAACTTAAAATATAGCATAGAAGCATTTCATCAATTATGACTTTTATGATTATCTTTTATGTATATATGCTTACAATTTGTATACATGGATATTTTTTTTTAAATCATTAAAATCTGGTGCCCAGACGAGATGTCTGGGTTATCAGCTACATGAATATATTGTTAGTTTTGTTTAAGCCTAAATATTTAAGGGATAGAAGTTATAGTAATATTATATGAATAGTCTCGATAATGAAATTTATTTGAGAATGTCATGGACCATAAAAGTACAGGTCAAGTTAGATTTTGATTTTTTTCACAATTACTATGCAAGATTTGCGGCTTGCCTTTGAAAATGTTATTTCTTTGATTTCTGGATGATAATCATAGTACCACTTGACCCAATCCTTTGAAATTATACATAATATCATGGATCATCGAAAAACTGTTCAAGGTCCATTTTGATGGTTTTGAGAATAACCGTTCAAGAGTTATGCCCCTTAGTTACCTTAAACATTTAACTTTCTTATTTCCAGATGATAATGAAGTAATGTTTGACAAAAGCTTTTTTGATTTTAACACTTAATTTATGAAACACAAAATACTGGTCACATTCATTTTTAATTTTGGTATTTCATTTACTGTTTTTTTTTCTGCAAGCAGGTGTATCTGCTCAATTATTAGATCTTATCACTTATTCTAGTTTGAATCTGGATGGCAATTGCCAGTAACAGGAAAGAGCTTTCTGAAATTAGGGGTATTTCACATGATTTTATTTTTCAGTCACTCGGTTTAGTTTAGTTTATGACTAATTTATTTCTGATCAACGAGACAAAAGGGATAGCCACAACTTATGAACTTGTAGAAGTTGTTTAAATGGACTCAAGTTAATATTTTGAAAGACGCTCACTGCATACATATGGGATAAAAACACGTTTAGGTCCTTTGTGGTTTTTGTCAAGCCTGCGACTTTTGTCGCAGAAAGCTCAACATAGGGATAGTGATCCGGTGGTGGCGGCGGCGGCGGCGTTAGCTAACTTCCTAAAAGCTTTATATTTTCCAAGGTGGAAGACCTGGATGCTTCATTCTTTGTATATAGATGCCTTATGATATGAAGTTGCCGTCTGTCATATGTCCATTGTCCTTCACCTCATTTTCATGGTTCAGTGACTACTTGAAAAAAAAGTTAAGATTTTTTATAATGTTAATTTCTCTCTTATTATGAGTAATAGGATAACCATATATAATATATGCATACCTTGCAAGGTCCTCATGCCCGTCAGACAGTTTTCATCTGACCTAGACCTCATTTCATGGATCAGTGAACAAGGTTTAGTTTTCGTGGTCAAGTCCATATATCAGATACTATAAGCAATAGGTCTTCTATATTTGGTGTATGGAATGATTGTAAGGTGTACATGTCCAACTGGCAGGTGTCATCTGACCTTGACCTCATTTTCATGGTTCAGTGGTTAAAGTTAAGTTTTTGTGTTTTGGTCTTTTTTTCTGATACTATATGCAAGAGGTCAACTATATTTGATGTATGGAAATATTTTACAATGTACATGTTAGTCTGGCAGGTTTTATTTTACCATGACCTCATTTTCACGGTTCATTGCTCAGTGTTTAGTTTTTGTGTTTTGGTCTGTTTTTCTTAAACTATAACCAATAGGTCAACTATATTTGTTGTATGGAATGATTGTAAGGTGTATATGTCTGTCTGGCAGGTATAATCTGACCTTGACCTCATTTTCATGGTCCATTGGTCAATGTTAAGTTTTCATGGTAAAGTTTGTTTCTTAGATACTATAAGCAATAGGTCAACTATATTTAATGCATAGATTGATTGTAAGGTGTACATGTCTGTCTGGCATGGTTCATCTGACCTTGACCTTATTTTCATGGTTCATTGGTCAATGTTTAGTTTTCCTGTTTAAGTCTGTTTCTTAGAAACTATAAGCTATAGGTCAACTATATTTGGTGTATTGAATGATTGTAAAAGAGGGACAAAAGATACCAGAGGGACAGTCAAACTCATAGATCGAAAACAAACTGACAACGCCATGGCCAAAAATAAAAAGACAAACAGACAAATAATAGTACAGATGACACAACATAGAAAACCAAAGACTAAGCAACACTAACCCCACCAAAAACTGGGGGTGATCTCAGGTGCTCCGGAAGGGTAAGCAGATCCTGCTCGTGAAAAGGGAGGGTATTGTAGTTACGACATAAGGAACATATCCGATATCATCTGTGAAACAGTTATTCCATAACGGTCAACCAACTCGTGATGGCGTCCGTAAAATTTACGAAGGAATGACTTCAACTTCACCATTTGGAACTCTTAGTTTAATAGCTTCCTTGTGAGCAGCAATCCACTATCAAGGAAATCATGATAGGAAACACAAGCCCGGGAATATCGTATCAATTGGGAGATATATACTCCGTATGCAGGTGCTGCTGGAATGTTGCTACATAGAAATGGAAAGTTCACAATTGCGAAGCTGAAATCATCTCTTTTGTCGTAAAGTTTTGTTTTCAACCAACCCTCATTGTCAATTTCTAGATGCAAGTCAAGATATGATGCAGACTTAACTGTATCTGTAGTATCCTTTATCTCCAGTTCGATGGGATAGATTCGTTCACCATAGTCACCAAATTTTGTATTATTTAGTAAGAGAACATCATCTATATAGCGGAACGTAGAGTCAAAGGATATTGCTAACTTCTTATCTTTCTTCCTAAGAAGTTCCTGTATGAAGTCAGCCTCATAATAATAAAGAAACAAGTCGGCAAGAAGAGGGGCACAATTGGTTCCCATTGGAATTCTGACAGTCTGTTGAAAAACATGTCCTCCAAACGTAACAAATATGTTATCAATCAAGAAATCATGCATCTTGATAATGTCAGTTTCAGAGAATTTTTTGTTTGAATCAGAGTGATTCTTTACAAAGTAGGATTTATCCCTCCCCAAGACAAGATACTTGTATCTATGTTCGCCATTCTTTTTAATGAAACAAAGTAATACCAACTCTTTCAATTTGTCTTTTAGTTTGGAATGGGGAATACTTGTGTAAAGTGTAGAAAAGTCAAATGTTTAATACTATTGCAAGATGAGAGAGTCTTAGATTGTATGTACTCTAAAAGATCTTTGGTAGGTGTACATGTACTTTCGGTTTGGTTTATCTGACCGTGGCCTTATTTTCTTGGATCATGTTATGTTTATGTGATACTTTTAGTAAAGCTTTATATTAAGGACTATCAACATGAAATGGTCAGTAAAGAAGGCGAGACTTTTCAGTGTGTGCACTCTTGTTTATTATACGAGCGCAAAAATTTTTGCAAAAGTTGAATTCTTGGGGTTCTTTGATATACTGAATCTAACCGTGTATGTATTTAGTTTTAGATATTGGACCATAATAGGTAAATTAAAAAATTTTAAGTTCTTAGACCACATTCATTCTGTGTCAGAAACCTATTTAATCGATCACAATCCAAATTCAGAGCTGTATCAAGCTTGAATGTTGTGTCCATACTTGCCCCAACTGTTCAGGGTTCGACCTCTGCGGTCGTATCAAGCTGCACCCAGCGCAGCATTTTATTCACTTTTGTGCTACATTGTGCTCTCCACACAAATGAGATCCTTTGCAGTGTTTTTAAAGGCCAGTGTGTGTACATGTATGTTGTGTGACTTGTGTCACATGTTAATTTGAAAAAGCAGGTCAAGGAACAGATTGTGTATTGCCTATTGATTGTGTCTTGTATATCAGTTGAACAAAAAAAAAAAAACATTCATTTTCATACAAAATACACAATTTCTGCTGAAAAGTAGCTTAATACCAACACTTAGCATCCTTCATCCTAACCTTAAATAGTTATAGTCCCTAGTGTGGACAGTGTGTTACTTGCCAATTTTTTTTTTATACCTCTTCCAAATGTATTTCTTCATGTTTTATGCCTCAAATAGCAAGTAGGGGGATGAAATTACACTGTAAAAAAAATTTGGGTCATGAATTTTAAAGTCAAGTGGTGATTTGGTCCAGCTGAAAAAGGTTAAAAATTAGCACTTCAGAAGCTGTCAAAAGATTTCAAGACCCCCTTAATTAACATAAAATTGTCCATATTTTGAGTTAGAGCCGATGAAGCTATAATTTTGATATAATTTGTCCCAAAAGTAGTACTACACACTGTACAATTATTATTGAGAAAGCGCAGGTGGGATTTTTTTATTTTCATTTATTGTCTAAAAGAAATGCACTACGAAATAACTGTGTACTTGGACCTTCTGATATATTTTTTTTCATTTTCCAGAACCCTATGTGGGAGGACCGGCCGCGCTTGTCAGTTGTCATAGTTGATAGTTAATCCTTGGTTGAAGTATTCTGTATCCCTTGACGCATTATACTGCACTCCCTATGTTTTATTTGGCTCACAAAGATCCGACACAAAAGAGAAAACATATTCGGGTTTCAGTCCCCGTGTACTGATTGGACCAATGTCGGCCGATCTATCAGCCGTCACTTGCAACGGGGCTCTAAGCATCACGAGTACGTTATGTCATTTATTCGTATAAGAAGTGGAAAATCACATGATATTTTGCAGTAACTTTCTAGAAGATATAACCAAGTAGTTATTAAAAAATCGAAATATCTTAAAGAGTATCATTGAAGTCATCCTGTTATACGGCAAACAGAATTAAGCGCTCAGGGGTCATTAGGAAAAGGATAGCAATTTCATTGCTATTCTTCACGACAAGACAAAGGGTAACGAAGTTCTGGCTAATCATTTAGCATATTGCGATCCTTAGAACCAAAAATACGTCTCCCGACATACAAAACGAACTTAGGGGACGACCATTTGATATTCTGGTGGGGGGGGGGGGGGGGGGGGGGGGGGGGGGGGGGGGGGGGGGGGGGGGGGTGGCAGGAGGATTTTGAAAATAAATAACTCAGCCTTGATAATCACAAAAATAAATAGTTTGTCCTGTGGTAGTTCGAAAATAAATAACCTGACTTACAATGTATTGAAAATGAATAACTCGGCTGGTCTTTAAGCCATTTTATAAATGCTATTCGAAAGTATGAGGTGGCACCAGATTCTTCAT